TTAGGCAATACCTAGATAGTTCGTCCGCTAAGCTATCGTCAGATGTTCCACTATATATATTAAACAACTACATGATTCTGATTAGAGTAAGCTAGATAATTTATATATACAAATACAATTCAGAACATAATCAAAATAAATTCAGAACTTCAACTTTTCATTTCGTATTCATGCTTCATGTTTCAGTTTGTAGTAACCAGCGTGTCAGTTATGTACCTGATATTGAAAGCAAAAGAAAAGGGAGATCAGCAGAAATTCAGTAGCATACAACAACAGCAACACCCAGTAACCAGCAACGAGAAACCAGTGACAGATTTAAAATCAAGATAAAAATCCAGAAACACCAACAACAATCAACGGACAGAAGCAAAGGGAATCTTTTCAGATTTGGAAGACTAATTAATGTTCAACCCTTAATTTCTGAATCCGTATATCAGAATATTTAGATTGTATATCAGGTGTATACTACTCACTCTTTTAATTTCCAGAATGTTTTTATTTGTATTTTTGGAAGTTTTAATATTTTCGGAATTTTTCTCTCTCTTCAATATTCAGCTCTCCTTTTTTTTTCTCTCTCTTTTTTTTTTAAATTCTGTCCAAGTCCCCCTATTTATTACCATCTTTCAGCATTTTTTAAAAATTAAAACCCACTATCTTCCACTCATCCCCCTTTTAATCTCACTACCTAATGTTTTGCCCCCCACTATATTAAACAAATACATTATCCTTCCCCCATTATATCTTGTTCCCCATGCCTATATTAAACAATTATTATTCCCCACTACATTATGTCTTGTCCCGCACCATGTACTATTTTAATATTATTAAAAAATTATTTAATCTTAATGGACAAAGCACTCAAAATAAATAATTGTTCAGATTTTTAATTCCAAAAATACCCCTCCGACCATACTGAAATTACCATTTTACCCCTGAAAATACTGCAATTTTCCAATCTACCCCGTCAACTATAACCAATTCACCTAATCAATTCTAACCAAAATATAGCAGCTATAAC